AGGCATTCATGGTTACCCAAGCTGAAAGTGAACCTACAACAAAAACAGTGCCTCAGTTCCAAAGCAAGGGGCAGATGTCTGCTGTGTGCATGTGACCCCGCCGCCCATTCCCACCCAGTGAGTCCCACCTGCTGAAGCTGTGGATCCCGAAACCACACGAGCACTGTGAAATACTGATCTTCAAACAGTACAGTGTCTGTGAAAAGTTTGCTCAGCATGATTGCCTTGGTAATTGTGAATAAATAAAATAGCAGAGAGAATGAAGCTGGAGCGTCAGGCCTCTGTGAGGTCCTGCTCACGGGCAGCACCTGCCTGCGGTGCACACAGATGTCTCGGCCCCTGGGGACCCTCCTGGTGCACTTTTTAGATGAATCAGAGCCGTTTGAAGACACAGACTGCTAGGGAACATTTCATCTAAGTGTCTGGAAAGCAAAACGATGACCAGCTGCACATGTTTTTTTTCCTTCCAGGCCTGTGGTGGTGTGTGTTTGTTTCAATGTGTCCAGAATTGTCTAAAAGTTTCTCGTCCTGTTGAGGGTCCCTCTCCCATCCATGTGCAAGGCAGGACTCTCATCTGCCCTCACTCTGGGCTGGACAGTGGGAGCACTGCCCACCACACTGACCCTCACCAAGAAACATCCATTCACAACAGCACTGACTCACACACAGAGCCCAGTGTGATCGCTCACGTGTGTGGGCGTGAGTCCTTCCTGTAGGAGTTTGTCACGACATCATGTCAGGTTACTGTAAATATCAAGCTTGTGACTACATTTTTAATGTTTTTTTTTTTTTACTGCTTCTAAGATGATTGTTTTTATTACGCAGGTTGTGCCTGTATTCCCGAGTAGTGCAGGCTCAAGTTCCTCTTTTCTTCCTAGGGGGGAAATTTCTTGAGCTTTGAATGCGTCAGTGTTCACTGCCAACCAACTGTATGTAAATTAGGATCCATTGAAAACTGTGGACCTGGAGACCTGATGTAGGAATCAAAGTGACAGATCTAGATACTGTCAAACATTAGCAGGAACAGTCAGCTCAACAAGCCATCTTCAGTATGAACTAAGTTTTTCTTTTAGTGCTTTAGCTATAGCATATATTCCTAGAAGTGGTTTATTCTTACTACTGGTTCAGAAAAATCCATAATTGCCCAATCACTTGCTCCCTTTTTATGGACTCCTTGACCTTTTGTAGCATCTTCAGAGCTTACTACCTACATTTGTTGGGAAACTCCCCCCTGAAAATGAGCTGGCTGTGTGGTTTCTGCTAGGGGATCATTTGTTTGGCAGAATGTTTCAGCAGGCTGCGGATCGGAGAAGCTGCAGGGATTTTAATGGCATCTCGGCCTCTCTCGGGCTCCATTTACGCCGCCTCTGAACTTGTGCTGCTAGTGTCTCTGCCCTTCTTCCTCCACCCTGTATCCTCCTCCCGTATCTGTCTTTGTAAATCCACAGTTAATTGCATAACGTTTTACTTTCAACTCCATAGTTTTCAATAATCTTATTCTAAGAAGTATTTTCACATTACATTTACATTTTCAAAGCCTCATTCATTTATTGCTGTTGACACAGCAATAGAACACGCTTATCAATGTACAGTGCCTATAAAAAGTATTCACCCCCACTTGTCAAAGTGAAAAAAAATCAAGACACTTTGCTAAATTAATTGAAAACAAAATCAAAATAATTGAATGCATAAGTATTGCCCCCCCCCCAGAGTTAATACTTGGTAGGACCACCTTTGGCAGCAATTACAGCTGTGAGTCTTTGGGTAAGTCTCTAGCAGCGGTGCACATCTTGACATTGGACTTTTTGCCTATTCTTCTTGGCAAAATTGCTCAAGCTCCATCAAGTTGGATGGGGGCTGTTTGTGAACGGCACTTTTTAAGTAATTCCACAGAAGCTCAATTGGATGGAGGTCTGGGCTTTGACTGGGCCACTCCAGGACTTTAACCTTTTTGGTTTTAAGCCGCTCTGTGGCTTTTGCTGTGTGTTTCAGGTCACTGTCCTGTTGGAAGATGAATCGTCTTCCCAGTCCCAGTGCTCTTGCGGATTGCAGCACGTTTTGCTACAGGATTTTTCTGTACTTAGCGCCATCTATTTGTCCTTCTATCCTTATGAGTTTTCCAGTCCCAGCCGCAGAGAAGCGTCCCCAAAGCATGATGCTGCCACCACCATGCTTCACTGTAGGGATGGGGTTCTCAGTGTAATGTGCTGTGTTAGGTTTGTGCCAAACATAGCACTTAGCACTTAGCAGGCCCAAAAGTTCAGTTTTTGGTCTCATCAGGCCATAGAATCTTCCTCCAAATTGTTGAGTGTCTCACATGCCTCTTGGCAAACTCCTGCCGAGATGTGATGCGAGTTTCTTCCCCCACAAAGGCTTTCTTCTTGCCACCCTTCTGTACAAGCCAGGTTTATGAAGTGTGTGTGCTACTGTTGTCATGCACAGTGTCTCGCATCTCTGTCATGGAGGACTGTAACTCCTTTAGAGTTGCTGTAGGCCTCTTGTTGGCCTCCCTTACTACGGCTCTTCTTGTCTGGGCACTCAGTGTTTGAGGACGGCCAGTTCTGGGCAGATTCACGGTTGTTCCATATTTTCTCACCTTTTTAAAGATGGACTTCACTGTGCTTCAGGATATATTCAATGCCTTGGAAATGTTCTTATATCCTTGCCCTGACTGGTATTTTTGAAGAACCTTGTCTCGGATCATGCTTGGAATGTTCCTTGGTCTTCATGGTGTAGTGTTTCCTTGGAAAAGCACTAAGTGGGGAAGCTCCCAGACACAGGTGTGTTTATTCTGAAATTATGTGAAACACCTCAGCTGCACACAGGTGGACTCCAGTCAAGTAATTCTGTGACTTGGAGAAGAGAGCTGGTTACTCCAGAGGTAATTTTAGGTGTGTCAAAATAAGGGGGTGAATACTCATGCATTCACTTATCTGTTTTTCATTTTTAATTAGTAAAATGTCTTGATTTTTTTTCTCCCTTTGACATTATAGAGTACTTTGTGTTGATGAGGGGCAAAAATGCAGTTCAATACATCATGGGTCCATGTGTAACACAATAAAAGGTGAAAGTGTCTGGTGGGGGGTGAATACTTTTCTAGGGACTGTATACAGTACATCCATTTTCCACTCTTCCCCCTCTTCATAGCTCATGGTGCCTTCCTGTTGGCAGTGCATTTGTCTCCAGTGCTCTGTCTTAAGGTCAGGTTTGCATGTAGACTGTCTTTTTGAATAACCCTTATGTTTAGTCGAGTGCTGTAATTACATTTTACTCATCTTGCATTTTTAAAAGTGCCAGATCCAAACAGGAAGTGTGACAACTGAAAAGTGCTTCATGTGTCACTGTGTTTGAAAGGTTTGCTGCTGAGATCCAGATTCTGCTGTTGAACAAGAAACTATTCCCTGACAGGAGAATCTGGAGGACAGTCAGGATTCTTTATGGTCTATTTCAGTATATATGACGATTTTTCCTGGCAATGTACCCATCTTGTACATAAGCAGGACACATCAGTCACTGGATACACGAATGTGTGGCTATATACTGTAGAGAAACAGCATAGACAGATACTACACAGTGATTGAGATAGACTGTTGAAAATGTACAGTTTCTGAGGTTAACATCACTTCCTCCTTCAGACTCGAGTGATAGTGTTTCTGTGCAGCTACAGACTTTTTCTCTTGTAGGTAACTGGTGTGGGATACTATCATCACTAGGCTGCATTTAGCTGTAAAAACCCCATTTATAAGTTAACTTATGTAATTGGGAAACAAATTCTACTCAAAAACCACGATTTCTTGGAGCCACGTGGAACTGCCGAGACCACACACTAGCCCGGTGACGATTTCTTCCAGAGCTGAGCTTTCTGGGCTGAATGTGAGCTCTACTCTCTGCGTGGAGGGGAGGAGCAGGTCGTGGGTCAATTAAAACCAGTGGTTCCTGCCCAGTCCGCTCCCTGTGTGCTGTGCAAACTGCCCTTGTCACTTCCGCTCTGGAGTTTCCCCTTGGCTCCCAGCCTGCGCTGCTCCCAGCGGCTCAGTGCCAAGCACAGAGGAGAGGTTATGTTTGGACTTTTGTCTTTCTCTTGCCTGTGGTGGTGGGGGGTTTGGGGCCTGAGCAGGAGTTTGAGAAAACAGCTAATTTTAGAAATGAAGCAACAATTATTAACTCTTTCGAGGGGGGAGTGTGGGTGGTGGGTGTGGTTGGGGGTAGAATGAAGGCTTTTTCAGTGGAGCATTTGAGTTTCCTCTTTATCTCAGAATTAACTTTTTTTTTAAATTAAAACCTGCTGTAAGAAAATCACTTTCCCACATTAATCTTTTAAACTCAATCATTCGCTGTACTGTATGTTATTATACCGTATGTCCCCCCCAGCTTTGTCTCTTTTTCGTGGTACCGATTCTGTTGTGCAATTTGGAATTTTTTTTGGAATTTGTAACGTACCTTCAACCCGATGCCCCTGGTTTAGACAATGCATATCTTGTCGTAGATACTACTTTTGGATGGCTTCACCAATAGTTACACAGTGAAGTTTTTGCAGAATGCCTCAGTATTTACCTCTAGCAAGTTCAGTTATACGCTCATTCAGGTCAAAACTTAACTCCTCTGAGTGGCGACCTTTCCCATGGTCCTCTCTGTCGGTGTGATCCGGCCTGTAAAGCCCTTGACTGATAGCAGCCGAGGAGGAAGGAAGAGTGCCCAGAAGATATTGCCATTGGATATTGGGATGCTCCTCCCCCACTATCACCTCCAGCAAAGAGGAAATTTGCTCAGAAAATGTATTTGAAATGAATCATACTCTACAACGTTTAGAAACGGCAATAATTACTGATAAAAGCAGAAATGAAACATGTTTTGCTCCTTCAACAGCCTTGTTAACTATGAAGGAGCTGCTTGGTAGTTCACATGAGCAAGTGTTTGCAGTTTCTCAGGAACTCTAGTGTTACTATTTAAGAAAACATTTTCATAAACCACAGGAAAGTCATCGTTTGCACAAGAAGAGCTCTGTTAAGTCTGGGATGCAAGTTTAATTTCTTGGAAAAATAAAATCAAAGGACATACTGTACAACAAGACATCTGTCTTAATCACGTCTGTCCAATTCATTCAAAGTTCTGCTTACTGGAAGAGAAGAAAATGCTAAATGATTAAAGATCCCTCTGGCCTGCTGTGCATAGTTTTCTAAAAAGCTGTAAACACTACCCATTACAAAGAACTTACAAGATTTTTAAAGCCATTAATACTCATAATGTTCCAATTATTTCATGATGGACAAAATCCAGCTGTCACATTTTCAAACCTCTTTAATTTTCTATACTAATTTCCATTATTGAAAAAAGACAGATCCAATACCCTCTAAAAAGCTGGTTAGGAGAGATCTGCGAGTTTACTGACTGTTCCGCATGGGGTCTGCCACATGCAGTAGGACAGTGGGGCCATCGATTGACGAACCTCTTCCACCAGTGACTACTGTACAGAAGGAGCAACTGCATTTTCTTGAAAGACTGTATTTATAAGGTTTTAGACACATGGACACTACAGTAGAGCTTGATTATACGTTTTTTAGGAATTTAAATTTATTTTGAAAATGCTCTTTCTGTGAAATTGGAGGAATGTTTCAATTAAATGTAAAACTCCAAGAAGGAGTTTTACACAAGGCTACATATCACAAAAGGACAACAATTGCATGACAATATTTACAAACTTTTACAAACCCATTTTACAGTTGACAACCAATCATTTATCAGTGTGGCTTCTTGATCACCTTGTGCTTAATTATTTGAATAATCTGCCCCATTTTATATACATGAAATGCAAATCAGAATTATTAGCTTAATACTTGAAGATTTGGGTGGGTAATGCACTGTTCGATGATTGATAAAGCATCTAAGTCACAGTAAAGAAAAATAACTGCTGCTGTAATATGCTTCACAAGGATTGTAAAGATGTTTCTGTGTGGATATTGCGTGATCAACTTCACTGACAAAAGCCAGAAGAGATGCTCTGTTCAATCAGTGTCCCCTGCAGGTGAACAAGCCTCGCTGGAAGTCCTGCAGTGGTTGTGATTTAGAGTCTGATATTTTGTCTTTATAGTTAAAAACCAAAAACGTCTCACAAATTCACTGAGAAAACTTTTGTTCAGTGACTTTTGATCCGCAACACATGTGTTCAGTTTGTAGCAGCTCTTCAGTTCCTATTATACATGCTACAGCTGGGAGGCTGCAGGCAGGCAGCTGTCCCTTCACATCGTGTTTAATGCATGTAACCTCGTCAGCACTGTCTCACCCTGAAGTCCCTTCCTAGCTACTCAAATTGAAGACAGTACAGCTTGTATATGATTTGAGATCTGTAGAGATGTAACAATCAGAAAAAGCAGAATTCAATTTTTCCTTTGTCTTTGTACCTACAGTAGGTACAATCTGTGCCGTTTTTAAAGGACAGCTAACCAGGAAAGCTGCTGATTTTGTCTTTGAAACAACATTTGTCATGTTTGGGTGCTGTCGTTGTAACAAACTGCATTAGAGGTTTTTGATTGTAACTGAAACAGGGCTCAAGGAGAGCAGCACAGGTCTGATAAGCAGCTCGTGCAGAAACCCACACACCAGGCACTGAAGTTCACAGTCGTGCCACCTCGAACAAGGGCCACATCACACGTGATTCACATCTTTGTTCCCACCACTCTCCAGCATGGGCTAAGGTCTTATTCATTGCTTTCATTCTTGACTCTTGGCATTTTCTGGCTCTCATTATCGCTGTGCTGAAACCTGCACTCCATGTCTGCTACACATGAAGTTTGGCTGGGATCCTGTAGCTGTATCGGTTCCAGACATGAAGGGTTTCCATTGGTCAGATTATAATTGTATGGCTGAAGCATTTCAGAATAGGAGCAAGGGAACTCTATGTCCAGGGTGGACATATTGAAGTTTTGATCCATATCAGTTAATGAATAACTGCTGTTTTGACCCTCTTCTGGCCTCACTTGAGCGAAATCAGTGCCAGTATTGAACGTAGGGTCGGTGGTTGAGTTTTGCTGTTGCCCTGAAGAATAAAACCCCTGGTTTTCAAGGATCTTTGACACAGCTGTAAAAACCTTAGAAATATCATCTGAGTTTAAGTTTTCTCCTGCTATTTTGTAGTCATTGTAGGATGAACCGTCGTTCTCAGCACAAAACGAAGTTTCGGTTTCATAACCACAGCTTAAGTTGTGTTGCATCTCTTCCACAAAGTGGGCGTGCGGGACGGTACGTTCCTCTAGACAGGACATCTGAAGGGGAATGTCTGGCGTGCCGAAAGGAAACTGTTTGAACCCGTGAGATCTGGAACTGGAGGCTTCAGGCAGCGCTGGACTCAGTGCTGAAGAACAGAGAAAATTTACAGCAATTAACAACTGATAGCTCGATTGTGTCGTGTTTACAGTTATCAATACAAAACACAAAATGCAAGACAGACATGTTAGCCCACAATTTATATGCACTGTAGAGAAATTGATAAATACACAAGGGTTAAGTAATAAAACTAAAGGTAAAATGACATAAGTCATATGTCAGATGTGACTGAGGAATGTGTGCTGTGACAGGCACTGTTTTATTAGCTCACTGAGATGTTTAAATCAACGGAGCTGTGTAGCGTCAGAGTTTCATTCTTTTATTTGGATGCCTTTCTTCTGGGGCATGTGCTCCCTGCTTCTCTTACTACTGTCGCTATGGGAAATGAAATGAAAAATTAGGAAAACCTGTCAGAGCTTATCTACAGGTAGAGAAAGGGGACCCTTGAAATTGGACCCGCTTTTGTCAAAGCAAATACCTGCAACTCTGTTTCCATCTCCAAACACGTCTTTAGCGATTTTTCTCTTCCGGTTTACTTCATAGGGGTCTGAAAAGGACAAAGAAAACTGTAGCTCAGACAATCCGAAATTAAGGCTGACATCACAAATTAAAATGATAAACTGATATTTACAAGTGATTTCTAGTACACACGTCAAAAATTTTATTATTTGTACGGTCCGCACCAGCAATAATTGCTTCACTGCACACAGCCCTGGGAAAACTAGTCATTCCATGTCATGGTTAGTGTTATATTATTACCACAGCTTGTCTAGGTAAGAAGGAAAAACTCCTTCAAACCCTATCTGCTAACTAACTGCTGACACCTAAGTGCTGTCATTTTCAGATGTAATTTACATGTTTTTGTAATGAAATAAATATGTAAATAGCTTAGTAGAAAGCTGTAACATGATCTGTTGCTAAGTATATTGCAACAAAGGGACAGTGACTCATTTCCTCAGTTAATGATCGTTTCTTGGTTTCAGGTTGGTATCTGGTTGGTAGCCAGAAATGGCTGTTAGTGGATTTATACTTTCATGTCACATTGAATTTCAGACTCATTTAAATTCACATTTTTGCACCAACAGCTCCTGCAAAGTGACAGAAAGCCCAAACGAGCTGGTTGTTATCTGTATCTCAACACAAGACAGTGAGAACTCTCAGGAAAGAGTTAATGCTCAATCTACCACATAAAAAGCTACAAAAAGAACATTCTTGTGTTAAGAAAGAGGACATAAGATATGTCTCGTACCACTGCGTAGCTCTTAGGAAAACACCTGCCATCTTACGTGGAGATGAATGTTTTAGGAATACTGGTGTGTGATTTGTCTATGCTCTCTTTTTCCAGTAGGCCTATAAAAATGTTAAAGCTTTAGTGACACCAATATCTTACAATATCGACGATTTAAAACTCTGTGGGTAATCGTGAGAGGTGAAAACATCAAGCAAAGAGGAGCGGCCGAGACCAGCGGCCCTGCGCGCTGTCCTGCCGCCGGGCCGTACCGGGGTTGTGCGGGAGGTAGGTGAAGGTGACCGGCTCGCTCTCCATGTGGTCCGAGAGACGCCTCAGCTGCACCTGGACGTCCACCTCCTCCTGGATGTCCAGGTCCCGGAAGGGCGGCGACTTGAAGACGACGGCGATCTGGCGGTGCACGTCCGTCTGCGCGAACTCCGCCTTGCCCATCCACTCTCCGTGAGTGAAGATGATCTCGATGTCATCTGCAAATCAAAACCGGGCTTCTGAAACCTTCTTTCTGGGGCCTAAGTGTTGCACAAATCTTTATATGTATTGTTTTTACATACAGATTTTTCTCATAAGCAAAAAGTGGTTGGTAGAGTACTTTTGTGCACTTACTATCTACAGACTTAAGTGTTGACATCATCCATCTCCAACAACGCTATTCCCTCATGCATTAAGTGTAATAAGTGGACTTGTGTTTTACGCTAAATATTTTTACATTAATTCATGTCTACGCGGTCAAAGACAAAAAAATTAATCAAAATCAAATAATGCAGGAAGTTTCAAATTCAAATCTGGTGAGCCACACACCTGAGCTAGGCTGGGGAAGCTCAGGGCGGAGCGGAGGCTCTGTGGCTCAGGCTCTGCGCCTGTGGCTGGAAGGTTACCGGTTCACATGGAACCCTTCTCCACTTCGGCCTTCACAGTTCTCGTTTGACTATTCGCTACTACTGGACCACCCAGATCTGCGCCGCGGCGGCTCCACCCGGGCCCGCGCCCTAGGCTTCCGTGCTCACCGCGGCGGCCCAGCCCCCACGGGCTCCTGATTCAGAGTTAAAAACTGAGATCTGGAATGAGTTGAGGGGTGGGATGATGGTGACCAGTTTGGTGTGCATGTGTGGGAAGAACGAACCTTCGACTCGCGCAGTTAGAGACACGGGGAAGCCTACTTGTGAGAGCTGTGCACCTGCTGTGTTCCCTGCATTTCATGATTATTCAATTATATTTTGGATCCTGCTCACTACTGTATTTGCTGTATTACTGTTTTCATAATACTTTAAACTACATACTCACACTAATACAGGTACTGTACTGTAGGTAATACAGGTGTATAATACAGGACTTACTTGAAGGAGGGGAATAATAGGGGACAAGAGGGCTTATTGACTGAAGTTTGGGAGGGGTAACAACAAGTCAATCTCACTCAGCTGTTCGTCATCACCATTGTAACAGAAATGAGCTGTGCTGTATATCTCGAACACACGCACGTCCCTTCACAATCATCTCAGGTATCCCTGCTGCGCCCTGTCTCCACCCTGCACCTATCCCCTGATCCACTCTTTCTGAATGGGGCTCCAACTCCTCTCCCTGTGGGCTAAGTCTCCCCCACGAGCCAAGCGGGTCAGGCCAAACCTGTCTCCCCAAATATTCCAAACATTCAGCAAGCCTTCATATTTTGGATGCTGTTGTCCCTAGAGACAAGTAGAATACATATCATTGTGAGCCAATTTTTCCATGTTGACGAGCAATATTTATTGCACTGGGCGAATTACATCGCTGGAGATGTCCGTCTATAAATGTCTTCGTTTACACTATATTGTAATCTCCCTCATCACTCCTGGAATTGTTTTGTGCTCTTAGATTCCTGTACCTTTCTGGACTTTGTCACAGAGCAGGTAGATCTCGGTCTTGCCCGTGCACGGCCCCCGAACCACATTCAGACGGCTGATCTTCAGCTCCGATGTAGTTGTAGCTTCTGTCAGAAACAGTGAAACAGGGAAACGCATTGTCACCGAGAGCACCAGGAACGACTGGATCTCTGAATGACTCTGGGCACATTCAGTCTACAATACTGCAGAGTACTTAAAAACTTTCCTTGCAGTCGGGCTGTACACCTCAACTCCACTTAATTACATATTTGGTTGCTTTTGGCTTCAGTTAATCACAGTGCCAAAATGTGAAGAAACTGCAGTGTTTGAACAAATACTTGTGTCTGTGTCCAGATTAAGGAATTCTGATAACATTTTCCCCCCATCTCTCTGCACTTTTGTAAATATTAAAAATAAAAAAAAATAAAGATTTTTTTTTCCAGTCTATCTAACCAGTTAGACGTCTTTCCCTTATGAGAAGGTTCATAACTGATGGTAGTTTTATTCTGCAGTACAGTACTGCTAAACATTCCTGAATGCAGGCTGAGTAAAGAGATCCATCATCTTTCACATGAAGCAGACTTCCAGCAAAGAATCTGGTGAAAACTCCATGAAAGTGGTTCAGCAGTGACCACAACAGAAAGAGTCAATGCAATACAGGGAATGACACTACACAGAACAGCTGTATTGCTTTGGCGAGAAAACTCACTTTTGTCATAGATGGGTTCAGATACAACAGGGCTTAGGGAATATTTCTCCCCGTCCGGTTTCTCCACTTCGCATTGGAAACACAGCCGGACGACATTCATCTCGATGTCCTCAATGCTCTTGGAATGCCCACCTGAGAAACGAAAGGACACGAAGAAAACAACTGCGTGAGAGGCTGAAAATATATCACATGTCCACCCGCAGACCTGCTGCAGAGGAATGGGATTAGAAGGCACTTCTGTACATAGAGTCACAACACATGTCTTAACCACTGCCAACCTGGGCTGAATGGCCTCTTCTCATTTGTAAGCATTCTTATGTTATTTACATACTGTATATTAAAATTAATCTATTTCTATCTTAATTAACTTTGTGTAATAGGAACCAGTCACACAAAAAGATAAAAAACTATAAACACACCAATGTACAGGAACTACTAATCGTGGATTGGACCATGGGTCATGCATACCACATGGACGTATTGCAGCAAATCAAAAGATCAGTTTCAACAGGGACGTGATTGCCTTGCTTTACTTAGAACCTCAACAGTTTCAGCCAAGTCTCCATTGTTTTTCACAACAAGATTATATTCGAGTATTCCAAATTTCACTGGTCTAGTTACAGTCACCAACTGCAAAAATAAAAACCTCATCTTAACTGTAAACTTTTAAATGCATCTTACAATGATATGAACAATGCAGGTTGTATTCACTGACCTCAGCAAGAGAATTCTGAAGTGTGCTGAGGACTCATGGAGCACATCTGTGTTAGAGAGGCTCCATGAGCACGACAAGCTAGAATCAGGCTACCTTACATAGAGCACATGAATCACCCTAATGACCGGGTTTCCTCAGACATTTTGATTTCTACAGAAACTGAAACGTTAAGCCTAGCACCAAACTTTGAATATTAAGTATTGTGATTATTCTTAATTGCTACATTTTACTTACAATGCAAATATCAGAAGACCATTTACAGTATCTTCACTGAAAAAAAACAACAAATCAGGAGCCTTAAGGTCATAAAGAAAAGCAATCTTGATAAAGCTGTGTAACAACAAAGCATTTTCAATTTAGAATTTTTTTAAATAAATTATTCACTTTTAGTTTCAAGTCTTTACTAAATACATTGCATCTCATATCACTTCCTGTCATAATGAATGCATATGTGAGCTCTTTTCAATCAAAGACATGCTTAAACTGGTTTAAAAGGAAACAACAAATATATGCTAGAGTAAACACCAGCACAGTAGCATTCAGAAGAGAGAGTGCACAGGTTAACAAGTGAAAAAAGCTGAAGATCAAACCACTGCTGCAGAACCCAGGTGGAAAGTTCAAGGGAATACACGTACACGTACTGAATGAAGCTCATGGCGGGTGTATGGAGTACACTCTCGTGAAACATTGCAGAACGGGATTCGCTCAGAATCTGTTTTCATGAGCTGTGAACAGTGAGCTGAAACAAGAGCCTGTGCAGTCCATCTCGTTCGTTTGTTTGCTGGCAGCTGATTGGTGCAGAGATCTGAACTTGCATTAAATGTCACCTGTCAGATATTTGCTCCAGCTTGTTGAAGTCTTTTGGAATTTATTTTACAGCTTTTTTACAGTGTTTGCTAAGCCCTCTACTATAGAATAATCTGCAAACATGACTGGTTTACTCACTACACCATATCTATACAATATCTAGATCACTGATATTGAGTTAGGAAGAACACTGGTCCTAACACAGATCCCTGTGGTGCTTCACTAATTACATTACGTAACCTTCACCCCTTATCTACAGTTTTGGATGCCAACTGCCTGGAATTAAAGACTTAATCTTTTATGGTGAATCAAGTCTTCTGAAAATCTAATGAATAATAAATCTGTAATGTAAACTTTATCATATTAAGCGAGCCCTGACTTAATCCATGCCATTTATTGTCTTGGTCTTCTGTTTCTGCAATGTGCTCTCTTTAGTAGTTCATCCCTCTCGCTGCAGAACCCAGAAGCTGATTTAAGGAAAGAGATCAGAGTAATGTTTACTAACAGGATGGAAAAATATTCTTGGGCTGGTCTCTGTGGTCAGTGACACATTAAAAAAGGTTTCTTTTTTAATGTAGAGGTTTAATTTTAGAGTGAACAGGCTGAATTGAATATACTGTATAGCTTAGATAAAACATTCTGCAACACAAATGTTATGTAGTGTAAAGTCGAGCTTTGTCTGTAGCTGTAGTTTAAGCTGTAGCAAAATGGACATATTTAAAGAAAACATGAAGATGCAAAACCCTGGACACCAGTAAGATCTGTACAATAGCGACATCAGTCACTGCAGAGGGGACAGTGGGTATTTTAAATGTTCATAGTCTTGAAATTAGTGTGTTTAAACCGAACCGTTACAAGGTGGAGCTGCTGCTAACCACATTGTGTAAATAACTTGGCTGTGGTCTTTACAATGGTGCTTCTAGCTCGGGGGGGATTTTTAGAACTTTCTAAAGACATACAGTGCAACATCAGAAAGAAGAAAGGACAGAACTGGTTGTATATGCATTTTTGTGGGCTGTCCTGTAACTGACAAATAACGAGTGGGGTGTGTATTTTCTCAGAACTGGCACTGCGGCGCGGAGGTGTGTGCAGGGAGGAGGGAGGAGGGGAGCTATAAAAGGACTTACAAAGAACTCATCAGAGAGTCCATTAAAAATCTTGCTTCAGTTGTCACATTAGCAAAGATGTGCTTTACACTGCTTTACCGAGCCGTAATTCAACAGAGAATGTCAGAGTGAAGGTAGACACGTGTCAGCATTGTCCCGGTGCTGAAACAGCAGAACTTGTGCAGTTACACTGTTGTAACACCGGTCAGATTTCATTCAATATTTACATCATTGCCATAACTATGGAGTAAAGTCAACACTGAGATCAGAGTGCTGTGTGGTGAAAAAAGTATTCACAGTCTTAGACTGGCAATTATGTTCAGATTTTAAAGTCATACATCTGTCAGCAAAATAAAACGGGGGAAAAGAGCTGAGATGCGTTTGTGCCCCCGGAGCGCGGGGCGGGAGCTCACGGCTCGCTGCGCTGTCTCACACTCACTGTGGAAGGGGTCTATTCCCTGACTCCTCCTCTTCTCCAGCGCAGGGTCGATCTCCTTCCGCCTCACACACTGGATCCCCAGGTTGGAGAAGCTGCCAGAGGCCACAGCACAATGTCAGAACGCACTGAAGCAGGGGGGCGACGCAGAGCACAGATTCACAAGAGGCTGTTTGTTTCAGTAAATGTGAAATGTTCTCCAGGACTCCAGCCCTGGTTCTGAAAAGCCACGGTTTCCTTTGTTTTTAATTACAGCGTAGCTCTGAACAGATCGAATTAGATCTAGATCTAGAAGATGACTTCCAGCGGCTGTCCGGGACCAGGGCTGGACCAGCTCGCTCCAGATCTAGAGTCAAGAACAACCTGGAAGAACCGGTTCTTTGGGGATTAAAGGAAACTGTTTATTACCGATTATCCGAAGGAGAACAAAGAAACAAATATTGTTACATTATGTTATTGTTTAATTAAACTGCACAGTAACTACACTCCTCTTATGGTAAATGTCACCACCTTCGAGAACAGGAACCCAGAGGGAGGTTTATGGATCACACTATTTAAAACTACATCTTTGAATATATCTTTTTGCTCGGAAACAATCATTTTCAATCAGCGTGTGTGTTTAGCTGCTTCTGCAGGGTCAGGCGGGCAGCACTGCTGCAGGGGCACACCTGTGCTTCCGGCTGGTCCGTGGGTTGATGGTCACGACACAGACCCCATCGAAGCAGTCCTTACCCACCAGGCCGTGTGGGTGTGGGCGGTAAGGGATGTCCTTGGTCACCAAGGATACGGTCACTTTCATCTTCTTCACCTGCTGTACGTTTCCCCGCAACTAAAATGGAAGGACTTGTCTTAATCACTCATTCCCACATCTTTCACCACAGAGCTCTGGCTTCAGATCCACTGACTTTAATTGGAAGTTAAAGTCTGCCCTGATGACACTCTTCTTCAGGCAGGACCTTTGCTTTTGGCGTAGGGTGCTAAACTACTGACTCGTCCATTAATCACACAGGTACTTGGACGAGGATCTGTGCTAGTGCAGAGAGCTGGAATAAGGGAATTATCCATGGGAAGGAGGGAAAATCCCAGCATGATTCCACACTGGCGGGAACCAGACCATAGTTTCGATGATTCACTGAAAATCTTGCTCTCTAATTAAACCAGTCACTAGCATAAACATGGCAAAGTACCTTATGGTGAATTTTCATCTGTCAGAGAAATTAGTCTATTTTTTGCAAATAAATGTGTGTTCAAAGATTTGTACTCGTAAACACTTAGCCTAATGTTACACTTGTTGGTCCTAAATGCACAATTTGCTTATGTTCTTTGTATTACAGTCCTTTTGTTGGCATTTTTGTGGACATGAAACCGGATTTTGTGTTGACAAGTTAAATGCTTGATTTCAAACAAGTCCTTTTTTCCTGACGCTATAAGAGATGTTTGAGGCCGCCAGTGGACTTCAGTGGACACTGTATTCAGGAGAGGAGCTGGACAATGAAGACAAGCCAGCCTAAGCCGTACACGGGCTCAGCAAGCCCCTCTCCTCTCGGCTCAGAGAGGGTCAGGGGCGCCCTCAAACCTCACCCCCATGCTGCTGGAGCACCCCAAGCCTCTTGTACACATTACAGAGACACGTTGCCTCCCATGTAAGGGAATCACCCCATGGGAATGACTGTGCATTCCCGGAGAATTCCCCTTTCTGCCTTTCTGGAAAACTGTTATGGGCTAACGGAATGATTAATTTATTATTTTTTTTAAAGTGGAGATATTGTGATTGTTTTTCTCACGATTATAGTGACGCCATGCGATCTGTTCCTCTGGCAGGAAGGTCCCTCCTATCTGCACTTCACTTTAATATTCTGCACATTCCTTGTACTATTAACTCATTTCTTTAGTAGAGAAATGTTTTCCATTAATACATTTGTGATTTCATAAAACAGAATGAGTTATTCTGATTAGTGCACTTTGACACGAGCTGATAAGCACGCTTGCTCAGTGCTCATTCTAAAGGAGGCTCAGTTTGTTACCACTGTTGTTCCAGCCAAAAGAAAAGGCTCTTCACCCTTAAAACGCTCTCCTCTCCGCAATGATTTATGTTCTACATTATCTGTTACTCTGTGATTCTCATCTCAGCTCCGACTGTACAAGGTTTCTGGAAATCAAGCTGGATTTCTTCTTGTTTTTGTCTCATGGAGGACATTAGATTGTATTATATTTGTTTAATTCAGGCTAGTGTTGTTTGCGGCGCAGGGTGGGCGTTACAGCTATCATGGCCGACCTCTACACTGTAGGAACTTCATCTCACAATGAAATTAGTTTATTATTCTCAGCGGTCAACACGAGACCTCATTGTGCCAGAACACAGACGGAGAAGCATCCCCCCACTCCATCGAGGCGCGGGCGCACTCGGGAGTGTTGAGCGTGTCTTGGCCATTGTTCCGGCCGTGCTGGTCTACCCGTGCCCGCGTGCAGTCAGCATGGTAAGGAGGCTCACCTCGATGGCTGGCAGGGTTTTATTCTGCTCAGTGGTGGATGCGCCCAGGATGCTGCCTGCCGAGCGCCCCTCGCACTCATAGCGAAACCTCATGCCTCTCTGCTTGGGCTGCTCTGTGATGACCAGCTCCGGCTTGTCGAGGAGACTCTCCAGCTGCTCGGTGCCTGGGTCCTGTCGGCCCCTCATCACGGTGCGGCTGCCCTTTCCCCTGCTGGCCCCCAGCCTGCCCCTGTCTGTGACCCTGCTCCGGCTCTGCTGGGCGGTAGGACTGCTTAAATTGGGCGAGGCCATGGGGACTCCTGCCTGCTGCAGTATGGACGCCTGCTGACAGAGACCAACAAGAAAACATGGGTTTTATATTCACCTCTATTAATCACACTCTCAGTTTGATAGACATATACACATATGGCTATGCAGATACTTAAAAAAAAATTCTATATGACAGGGACAGATGCAAAATTCACATTCTGGACAATAAAACCTGCCATGCTTTTAATGCTGAGCAGCAGTGCACCGGCGCACCACGTGAGCAATAAGCAATCCTGGTATGTGAGTTTGAGTCTGGGGCAACGTGGACACTTGTAATTACAGGAATCCATTGTAACTACATGCAGCAATTAACTAATGTGAGCAGGACATAGACCACTTCGTGGGCTTAGATTACGCCTCACCACAAGCACCCTAATTGTAATCAAGGCATATCAAGTTACCGTAGGAACTGTGTTTTCTAGTGAAAACACTAACCAGCTAAAATAATGTGTCATGTGTCACACAGCACATGACTAATTCATGTGTTTTTAACTTTTGCTCATTTCGAAAAAATGATGAAAAATCAAACGTTGAGCAATGCTGGGCCATGTCTGACGGTTATCATCCCCGAAGTGCAAGAAGTAACCTTCTGGAATCGTCACCCTGTGATGTGCCTGGTGCCAACACAGGTGGCCCTGGATCACTGATGGAACAAATCAACAACGATGACCAGGAAAGCTTAGTTTCATGGGTCTGGGAAGCGTTGGGCACTTTTTACTGTTGCTGTCTATGTTGCTGGTGATGCATGTTATCTTGTGATCCCATGATGGCAGTATATCTTTCTTCCAGCCTCACACTGACACTGTCCACCACACAAGACTCCAACAGCTACTTCCCAGGGCTCCAGTGGCCTTCATGCACATCGCCACCATCTTCTAAGATCACAAAACCAAAGGATGACAGAGTAGCTTTGCACTTTCTCATTTCAAAACTGACTCTCGCAGTGAACATACATGCATGCAAATGTTACATATTTTGCTGGGAGAGATTCAACTTTGTATTTCTTGTATGGGCCGCATACATTTGTGTTAACTACATCATTAGACATGGGGTTAACAAGACTTTCAGCTGCACCCAAGTCCACTGCTTTTGACATGGCTGTGAATGTTTCCTTACTCCTTGGACCTGTACTAGTGATTGACAGGTGCCATTTTAATCCAGCTGTCTAATCTCAACGATGTCAATAAAGCTTCTTTGGACATTAGGACTTAGGACAAGAAAGATTAAAAACAGGATAACACAGTCTGTAGTCTTTCCTAAACATCAGCCCTAACCACAGCAGACAGTTCTGGAGATAGTGCAAGTGCTTTTTGCATAGGCCCATATTTTCTTGTGCTCTAAATACTTTCCTGGCCATTAAAATGCCCTCTTGCCCGAGGCATTACTACAGTGTTTAGGGCACAGCCATGCTTATTTGTTACACTCCACATCTGCATATGTTTTGCATACTTTTTTCTCATTACTGTACTCCCATGACAGCGTGGCGAGCTTTTGCAGACATTTTTGCAACAGTAGTTAACTGGAAAACACGTCACTACCTGATAAAATCAAAATCTAAAAAAGTCACAGACCGACCACAAACTCACGTACCTTTTGACTGACAATCTTTAGTCTCAACAACCGGAAGACGAGTTACAACCAAAAAAAAAAGAGAGCGAAAAAGGAAGAAGCCGACAGCAGCAACAAAGAAACCTTGTATTTCTGTTTTTTTCAGGGGTCCCACGCTCCTCCTCAGTCCACTACGAGCCCTGCAGTTTCCAGCCTGTTTTCCGCCTCTGCAGAGCGGCGGCCTGCTGCTAGTCAAGGGCCTTGAGATGCTGAGCAGCCCAGTGCCAGGCTCACGTGTGGAGGACTACCGTGTCTGGGCACAGAGGGGAAAACAAAAGCAGCCACACAAAGCACTCGAGCGGGGGGGCGGAGCAACCGCTGGCAGGAAGCTGGCAGGGCAAGTGGGAAGAGTCAGCGGGGCGTGAAGCGCCGCTCTGGGCGGACACCAATAAAGTTTGTTCAAAAACAAAGAGAGTCTCTGTACGTTCAGGGATTTCCTTCTTTAGACATATCCAAGGACATACTGTATGGAAGAAACGGGCTCTCAAAAGTGGCATCTTACTCCTGCCTACAGATATGGCAGAACTCAGGACAGATGGGTTTTTTTCAGCTTTCTAATAATCTTATGCTCCCAGATTTAGAGTGCTGTTATATCTAGGTCCTGTATAAAAATGAACAGCTAGGTACTAACCAAATCCAAGTGTCTGACAACCTGGTAACAGTTTGAGTTTGTGTTCTTTGTTCTGTTTAGTCAGTATTGCTGCTAGGTCTTCCTTCGGCGTGGTTCCATATCCTTCTTTCATCCCGACCCAAGGACTGACGAGATCCTGGATCAACTAGCTACTAAAATCCACACCAGCAAGACGGGCTGAATGGCCAACTCTCAAACCTTTTTAAGGATCTTGGATGTTCCAAGGCTGTACAGGGATGATCGATTCTTTTCTGGCATCCAGTAATGTTTGTTTTTTACAGATGCACGTGCAGTTAACAAGAAAATGTCCATCCTGTTTGAAAACCCCTAGTTCTAAATTCATGTGTAATGTGCGTTTCAGCTTAAGCTCCATACACCTTTTAAACAGGGCTCCTTTCCTCTTTAGGTGATGCCCGTGGGCTTGAGCCTGCAGCAGAGCAGCATGCGAGAGCTGGCACAGCACACGGTCCTACTGGGGCCCGGCCTACCTGCGTGCTTGACCCTCTGGCTACCAGCTGTGGTGTGCTAGACGGCCGAGGCGTCCTGCTGGTAAAGACTGTGGGGAGGAACTGAAAGTCCTGCTCCAGCTCCCGGGACAGGGGTGGGGGTCCCGGCAGAGCTCGTGGGACAGATCCCACCAAAGGATCACTCCTCTCAGAGATGTACTCATTAATTATGTCTGCGAAACAAAACAGCTTGTCATCATGGAGGCCCCCCATCCTAAGGCACAAATAACAGTTGGTGCTGCATGTTATTCCGTGCAAATGTCAGCATAAATATAACCATGTCAAATAGTGTCAACACTAGTTTGTTACTGTTGCTTGGGCGACAAGCCACGGATTAAAATTCTAAGTGCTCACTGTTAGAGAAGTTATTTTATGGAACACATTTACCATGTCTTTACTAAGGACAACATTAGGGTGGTCTACAGTGTTTTTCTGTCTGTAGAATGAATATCTTTGATCTAAATTTCATAAGGAGAATGTTACCTGTAAGCATTCGGTACGATGGACTTCTGTCCGTTCAAAGAAACACAAAAATCAATTAACAGTGATACTCACCTAGTTCTACATCTGGAAGAAAGAAAAGGGGACACAATATTAGTGATCTTGCAACATCAGATGTGTACAATCTCATTTAAAAGCAAACAGTCCAGTCTTAATTCACCCCAGACAGTTAGAAATAGTCCTGAGGCTTTACATTAAACTCAGAATCAAATTTGCAGCAAACTGCATAATTTGCTGTGCAGGTAACTTGCTTAATAATAATAATAATAATAATAATAATAATAATTGCTTACACTTATATAGCGCTTTTCTGGACACTCCACTCAAAGCGCTTTACAGGTAATGGGGATCCCCTCCACCACCACCACCAGTGTGCAGCCCCACCTGGATGATGCGACGGCAGCCATAGTGCGCCAGAACGCTCATCACACATCAGCTAAAGGACGCAATAAGTGTTTCAACTGGAATCTGAACCCACAACCTTCCAGTTATGAGTCCAGAGCTCCAACAGCTCTTTACTGTGCTGAAATGACAGGTGCAGGCAGATGTCAACAGCTCGCCAGGCCCCTGTGGGACTCTACTGGCACAGACCTGCGACAGGAGATGACATTTCCTGTTGCTGCTCACCGGTATCAATAAGAGAGTCACACGTCAGTTGGAGTCTCTGTTATAACTGTCTATAACACGTCTACGAATGACATTCTAAACTGTTCTAAAACATCAGGTATCCCCAACACTAAGTTTAAGGTTGGTATGGGTCAGGATGTTACTCCCACATTAATGTGATCCACAGTAGAGGTTGTTGATTGTCTCTGGCATTTGTAGACTTAGAAATAACATGGTACCTATGAGAGTGGGTGTTCTCACAAATTGCCTTAAACACACAGTCTCTGGGAGATGGGTCAGAGCTTAATAGAGCTTAATATCGGCCTCTTGTGATGTTTAAGATGTTAATACTCTAATGCCTAAGAGTCCTTTCAGCTGTTTACATCTTAAATGAGAGGCACTGGGGGTGCTACACTCTCGTGGCACAATCCCCTCACAATCCTCAGCTGAAAGGCTCTATTCTTTACAAAGCAGATTAAAACACCTTTTCTTGCGTGATCTGTTCTTCTACCGGTTACCGGTGTGCGATCCTGTTGTTGTTGCTGTAATATATTATAGTGACAGCTAAACAGATCAATCTATTACAGGCGGCAGGCACACCCGGTCTCACTCTGTGTACCAGATCTGAACGCCGAGTATTTTGTTTCTGTGATACAGATGGCATTATGTGAGTCATATTTGTATTCAGATCGCCAGCATTCATCGGTTTATGACTAATTCTCCCGGAGTTTAAGCGTCTGTGATTATAAACCCGAGACGGTAACAGGCGGTTCGTTTCCACACGACAATCTACATCCACTTTCGGATATTTCGTGTTAAATTTAGCAGCAGCGCAAGGCCGGTCGCTTGGCCATCAGGCGTCTGTTGTCCTCCTGTCCTCTCTGTACTGACCCCGTTTCAGTCCCGCGCTCTACATTCCCCAGGTGAACCGCCCGGGGACGCAGAATATGTTCGGATCAGACCTTGGCCAAAACACAAAATACCTGCATGAGAGTCATCTAAAATCTCACTCGTATTAAGGGTCAGCTTTTTTCTATAGGCAAGCCTCATACTAGACGCTGAGGTAACTTGGTGCGTATCGGTGTAAACATTAGATTATACGAGCAGGCGGTTAATTGCATCACCAGGCTACCGATGCATCAGCCCAGAGAGCAGTCACAGTGCAGAGCCACAGCCTGCAAACGCTGTGACTGCCGACTGAAAGCACCTTTCCGCAGGTGCGCTCCGCGGGCGTGGCAGGACAGGCAGTGGAAACTGGGCCAGGGGCTCGGTGCTGGTTGTTTGTGTCGGGGTGCTGTCGCGGGCTGTAAACTGAGCTGCCCTGATGCTTGTGATCTCGTGAAAACACCCGAAACAGGCCGGACGTCTCCGAGCCGGTGCCCGGTTCCGCCCCGTTGCCACGTCTGCCCGGTTTCAAGGTGTCGGCGGGACCGGCTGCCCCGCGGCACACTTCAAGACGCTCATCTGTTTCTGAATAAGGAAAGCCGTCTTACCTCTGTTCAGAACATTAGTCTCATTCCCGACGCTCATATTTCGCATTTTAAGCTTGGGATCTCAGTGGCAGTCGGCGCGAACTGTAAAGCGATCTGAACTCTGCTCTTCCCGAAAGCCGCGCTGCCGTGTCTCTCCCAGTTCACTGCTCTTCGGCCATGTCGGCAGCCCCGAACTACAGCGGCTGCGCCCGGCAAGACATCGTCTCAGCGCCGCCCTGTCGGGATGTTTCACGCGTGTCGGGCGCTTGCGGGGATGACTGTGCGCGCAGCTCTCGATCCTCCACGGGCCAGGCGAGAAGTGGGGCGACGCGTCTCAGCTACAGACTTTCTTCTTGCACGAGTCTGGAATTCCCCTGACGTCACGCTAGGGGAAGCCCCGGGCAGCGCCACATTTTCCAATCGCTAACAGCCCTGGTATGAGTAATGCCTGCTGGCTGTCCTGCCTGTGTGCATCTGTTTTCTATTCGTCTTTTAAGCTCTGTTTCACGCAGAAAGGTGAGGTAGAAGGCGCCGAATAAAATCTGCGTGCACAGAAGGGAAAACCGAAATCGAAAGTGATAGAGGCGGCCCGCGCCGCGCAGGGAGGGTTTAATTCAACCAGCAACGAGCTCGGCTCTCAGTGTCTCTGGACCCAAGCACCCCCGGTTTCTCGCTGATACAACACCACCTGGAAACACGATCTGTCTGTTCATGCAGGCCAGCAGTGAATTATCAGTGTTTTTCACAAACACATCGTGAAGTTTTGCTCGTGGTTTGCTTTCACACCAAAGCAGCGCTGCTGTGTGTCGGCTGTTTCCCCGGATTGTTCACGGCTTCAGTTCACGGCTTGTTGACGAGCTGTGTCACTATCGGGCAGTGCTAACTGCGTGAACAGCATGAAAACACCAGAATGATAAAGAAAAACGCTATTATCATATGGTTAGAAATACTGTATTCTTGCTTTTAGTAAAGACACGGAGATGTTTAGAAATCGAATGCATTTTCTTTGTATTGCCCTAAGTATCATGCCGCTCTCCAGAAGTTAAACGTTACATAACAAATCGGACATTGCTGGGGAAAATGTTTTTGAACAGTGTTTCACAGATAACAGATGATACAAGAGAGTCCTGCTTTCTAACGCAAAGTATTAACCGTCGTCCTGGTTTGTCAAGACTGAAATACTGTTTCAGTGAGGAACAAGTGTAACGGGAAGAGAGTCTGATATGAACACACACGCGGCCTGCTCTACAGGTATACTAGTTGCTGTAGTATATTTACTATACGTGCTGCACCCTGCATACTGTCGGCCGTCAGCCCTGAGTCCCGCAGTGTAGTCCTGTGGGCTCTGAGGGCGAGTTCACGTGACTGACAGTGAGGAACAAGGGAGGAGCACAGAAACAGCAGGTCTGATAACACCAAGGAAACAGCAGATGACACTAAAAAGATTAACCTAAATGAGAAAGAATGGTTCAGCGTAGGCCTGTGTAAAATTACATTAGTATGTGGATCATCCCCCAAATGCTTAGCTCAGGAGACTGCAGCTCTTTAACCGGAGCACTGCGGTCCAACAGCATCCACAGGTCAGCTGGAACGACTACAGCGTGCAGCAGTAGTTGCTGGCAATGAAATGTCTTTTCTACGAGCTCACTGGGGGGAATAAAAATCACAAAATTAAAGCTACAAATAAGGTGACATAATAATACATAATAGTGCAATAGAAATTGAATAAAATAAACTCAGACAGAGCTCAATATAAATAGAGCTGCGATGTGTCCAGGGTGTGTGCAATACATTATGTCCAAGTAGTGCAGTATGATGAATACAGTGAAAACTGTGTGTCCATGTAGCCATTTCGGGTGATTTGCTGAAGGAGCTACAGGTTGACTATTTAGCAGTCTTACTTCTGGAGGTAGAAGCTGTTCTGTAGTCTGTTGGACTTGGACCGAATGCTTCGGTACCGTTTGCCGGACGGTAGGAGGGAAAACAGTTTGTGGATGGGAAGACTTCGGTCCTTGAGAATGGACCTGGCCTTCTTCAGACATCTAGCTGAGTAGATCTCCTGGATGTTTGGTAGCTCACAGCTGGTAATGAGCTGCGCTGACTTCACCACCCTCTGCAGTGCTCTGCGATCCCGGGCTTGAGCAGCTCCCACAGCAGGCAGTGATGCAGCCAGTCGGGATGCTCTCAATAGTGCACCTGTAGAAGTTGGCCTGGATAAGTGATGGCATGCCGAACTTCTTTAGCCTGCAGAGAAAGAATAGGCGCTGCCTATTGCTGTCTTGTGCTGTTTTGACCACAGTGTTGGTGTGGTGGGTCCAGGTTAAGTCCTCTGAGATGTTAACTCCCAGGAACCTAAAACTGCTGACCCTCTCCACTGCAGTCCCATTGGTGTAGATAGGTGTGTGATCTCCTTCCTGTTGTTTCCTATAATCCACAAACATCTCCTTAGTCTTACTGATGCTCAGAGAGAGGTTGTTCTGCTGGCACCATGCTGCCAGGGTTTCAACCTCCTCCCTGTACGCAGACTCTTCACCATCTGAGATCAGGCCGATGACTGTTGTATCATCCGCAGACTAAATGATGGAGTTTGAGTGATGCCTGGTGACACAGTCATGGGTAAATAAAGAGTAGAGGACAGGGCTAAGCACACAGCCTTGGGGGGCTCCAGTGTTTAGAGTCAGGGTAGAGGATATGTTGGTGCCCACCCTCACCACCTGCGGACGTTCTGTCAAGAAGTCCAAGATCCAATTACAGAGGGAAGTGTTGTCCCAGGTCCTGGACGATCGTCTCTCCCTCCTCTAGAGGGCACTACTACCTTTTCGTATTTCGTTCAGTTTAGGTTCCAGCACCTGTGTCTTGTTCCGCCTTCCCCTGTTTAACCCTGCCGTCTCCAGAGCTCTCGACTCTGGTCTGGAAGACGGACGACTGGAAGCCCGGAGCTCGGAGCGCCTGGCCTCGTTACCCTCCTTTTCACTCCCACGTTCCTGGTTCCTTGTTCTCTTTCCCTGTTTTTATGCATGTATTGTCTTGGATGGATCTCCTGGTTTGGGATTATGGAGTGCGCCCAGGCGCAAGTCCTGTCCTGGACTTGTTCACCTGCGCCCCCCTGAGCACAGGATCACAGCCGCCACGCCCCCGTCTGTCCTCCCCGTCTGCCGTGTTTCCCCTGTTGTCCTTCTCCAGTCACTTCTGTACTACAGCTTATACCGTCTGCTTAGGGTCCTGAACAACGCACTATTACAGTGGACAGGGCCTCCTTGTGTGGATTGGTCTTTTTAATAACTTTACAGCAGCAAACTGCATCTCTGCCAGTGCTCCTCAGTGGACATGGTGGGGTCACTGCATCTACATACAGGCTGACACAACGCCAGTCCAGTTCATCCTGCAGGCCACCTCTTTCTAGAGTTGGGACCTGTACCTGCAGTCATTGACAATTTCTACAGTCTGACCATTAAATACACACGGTGGGAGAGGTGTTGCGTTTCTCCTCAAATCGATGACCAGCTCCTTTGTTTTACAAAGAGGACTCATCACACCGTTTAGCAAAGTCACTTAGAATGCATCCATGATGGTTTTCTGGGTCCCTTAGTAAGCTGATGAGGACTGAGTCGCTAGCAAATTTAATGAGACGTCTATTGGTGTGTTTGCTTTTAGAATCATTAGTGTACAAAAGGTACAGTAAGGGGGAAAGTAGAGCGCATGTCAGATAATCAGTTCCAAAATCTGACCTGTTGAGCCCTGTTTGTTAAAAAGTTCAGGACCCATCTTATCAAGTTCATGTTACGCTTGAAATTCTCAGAGTTTCGGTGCAGGCAACAGTGGCTGTATTGTGTTAAAAGCAGAGGAAAAGTCGACAAATAATATACTTACAAATGACCTTGCTGGATCAAGATGCTGACAGACCAGATTTAACAATGGGAGTATTACATTGTCTGCTCCCCTCCTTTCTCTGTGTGCAGACTGCAGGCCGTCAGTGAGGTCCTGTGTGTTCTTTGTGATGTATTGCTTTAGATTCTCTCCAGGCTTTCACTGGGAGAGATGCAAGAGCAGCTGGCTTGTAGCTGTGGAGCATAGTTGGCCTGGCAGGTTTTGAAATAGGGATAAGGATGGATTTCTTCCACAGAGAAGGGATGATTTGTCGATTTAAGGACATCTGAAAAAGCCAACTAAAAATATCACACAGCTGATCTGCACAAGATTGCAGAACTCTTCCATTAACATGACCTGGACTTGCAGGTAATGTTGTTAATCTTCCACATATTAACTGCTTACATGCCTCTGCTGGATCCATTTTAATAGACTCACCAGAAGCTGGGAGGTCAGCACTGTGTTTTTTTAATACTTCCTCTCATTCACTGTTCAAAATCCACACTGGCGGGTTCAGCAAACTCTTGAATGTCGAAATGTATTTGAAAACACAGCTGGAAAGCGCAAGGCAGCTCAATTTATTTAGTTAATATCAGACGTTTAAACGTTTAAACTGCAGAAGTTTTTCGTTTCCTTTGCGAGTGCCAGCCTGATTAAAGAGTCTCTCGAGCTAAGAATTAAAGTCACTGCACAAAGAGGTCTGTGTTGGTGGAAAGACAGCTATAAGTGCTTTGGGGACAATAAAACAATTATACAGCAGGAGGTGCTTTTAACTCTTCCCGGTATTTGTGTTTACTCCCTGAGAACCAGGGACGCCCCCTCTGCTGGGAAGAGCAGCTCGATCAGCGGGGTACTGCCGCCCTCTCCTGGCTAGGAAGGTGTACTACAGCTTGCTGGGCTCGCCGTGGGGCGGTTCGCCATTTTAAAACAAACCCCGCAGACGCTTTTGTTGGTGCGTGACACTAAAGCTATTGAACTGAGTTACTGTTCTTACTGTTTTCTACAGCAACTGTTTTAAGAGACTTAAACGGCAGCAGGAGTGCCCTGTATAAAGCTTTCTGTCCGAGTTGTGCATTGACAAATGAGTGGCAGTAATATTCCTGAAAGACTGAAGAGACACGCTCCCCCTACCTCGCACCCCTTGATTTAAAATGTACGCACTGTGGTCGCCGCCACCACCTCTCTGCCGTGCACCCGAGTGTGACACGCTGTGGCCAGGGAAATGGTTTTGTCAGTTCAGAGTTTTAGACAGCAGAAATGGCAGACACTGCAATAATTTTATTGAATGCTCACGTCTTTGTAAAAACCTCGAAACTATAAAAACAACCGCTGACCGTTGTCAGGATCGTGTTTTTTTTCCTCCCTAAAAGGAATTCAATGATATTCCAAATATCTGAATCGGGAACTGTAGATTTGCTCAACTCAAACACAGGGAGACAAAGGAATATGTCTGCATCGATATATTTTCACGATTAAAATAGCTGTGGATTCAATATAACTTTTAAAACGGCCTCCCAGGCTTCATTGCACAGCACGACGCAATATCTCCAATCCAGGCAGCGTTTGAGAGCTTGTGAGTTGGTACAAGTGAAGCGTCTGCTCACCATCGCGCCCTCTGCGATGGACTTTTCCCAGTTCCTCTCTGGAAGCCTCCACCACCAGGAAGAGAACAGGACACCAGCACATACACCTTGAACTCCAGCTGCAGCTCAGGCTCCAGAAACTGACAGTCCCCAGAGAGAGGATTTAGCCTAATAAAAACTCAGCCACAATACCCACCAGTAATGGACTTATACAGATTCTTTCATTTTATTGGCTTGTAACTATAAAGACCCAAGAATGAGGTCTCTGATGGAGTAGTGTTTCACTGAGCCAGGCTGAGCAGCAGGACCTTGACTGTCTAGTACCAACGGACATCCCTTCTCCATAGTGGGGTGTGAATTTGGACCCAAATCTGGTGCCATTTAAAATGTTAATTTCACTGAATGCGATATACAGTAGTAGGCATGTCTTTAACGACGTCAATTAAATTTCATAGTAATTGGTTTTTAAAAACTGATTTTATGATCACTTTTTAGACTTGTACAGATAATTAAAAATTTCAAATTACTCTATCAAGAGTATGTGCCAAGTCAAACACTGTTGTGATGTATGGCACAAGAAGTCAGCCAAACACCAGGAAGTGTTGTGGAGTTTATACAAACGAGCCTGGCCTGGCCTTCTAACACAATGCGATATGGGTGTCACCTTGAAATAATTAAAAACATCAGTCTTGCTCAGAATTACTTTTTGCACATCAGCTACTGCTAAACAACTGACATCAGTGTAATTAAGGTACAAGCCTAGAGTCTGTACAGTTTAGGACATACATATACAACAAAAATCCAGTGACTGAAAATCAAATAATCATTAGAATGTTTTTTTACCTACAAGGCTTTTTGTTAAAATTCTGAAACATCAAGGATTTTAGAAACCAGTGCCCCTCCTCTCCCTCCCTGGCTGTTTTACACACAATCTTCCTAAACGGTTGTACTCGGCAGACACTGAAATCTCAGCCATACTGGTCAGCAGTAGATCATACCCGACGCTCTCACAATGGAATGGAATTCACAACGGAACAGACAGCAGTGGCTCTGTAGTTTTAAATATGGAGATATGTGTTGCCCCCCCCACCCTGCCCCCATCCCATATCAAAAAACAAATACAGTACGTCACGTTATACTTCACTGAATCTTCCAAAAAAATATAAAAAAAATCTGGAAAAAGTTTATATATACTTTATCTGTCATATCCAAAGGATAGTTTACCAATTTGTTTAGTGTCCATTATCTCCTGTCCCCGATGCCCCGTCAAATGAAACATTAATTTCTGCATTAATTATTCTTAAATCTCTCGTTATAAAGATGAGGTTAGTTAATCGTTCTTCTTCTCTCCCTCTGGTTTGTCTGTGATGGCCACGCCCTCCGTCCCGGCCACCTGCTCGGGCTTTCCCGTCGTGTGATCCACCCCACTTGTCCCAAACTCGTTCACGCGGTTGGGATCCACGCGGTAGATCCATCGCTGGTACAGGTAGATGAAGAACACCACATCTGCAGAAGGGGGACGGCACAGTGAGAAAGGCGAAGAGACGCGTACACTCCCAGGTGCCGCAAGCCCACACTGCAGGGTGGCCCGGCGCGCTGCAGCTCCAGTCTGACTGCACCGCCGCTCGAGCCCCGCTCCTCCTGAATCACAGGTCGGCTTCCCAGGACACGAGCAGAGAACCACAGACATCTGTCTCTTTAAAGGATACCTGTATATTTCTCAGAATATTCTCAGTCAGTAATGCCTAATAAGAAGGCAGAAAATGTCATTTTCCGGAATCGAGCCCTCCGTGTCAGTAAGGTATTTATGTTCTGGGAAACAAAGTGACGATTTTAACAAAAGCTGCCCAGCCACTCTGTTGAGGCTTTCAGACGAAGCTGGATGCCATCAGCTACTAGCAAGCAAGCGAAGGAGATGTGCTACACAGGCTATTCTCGGTTCCCGGCTTACGTTGGTCACCTTATTGGGCAGATTCTTTTACGCCGTGGGGTTTTCGCTCCTGCACACAAACACTATGAATACACACAGCAGCACGATTCTTACCGTCTCTGAGGCAGCCTATTCTGTACATCATGGGCATCTTAATGACAAAGGCGAACAGGTCGTCGATGAAGGTGTTCAGAGCTTTGTAGGTGAGCATCCTCCATGGGAGGTGAGCGACTGACTTCAGCTTGTAGTTAATGAAGAGCTGAGGAGTCATTGTGATGAACCCTGGGGACAGGAGGAGGGAGAGAACGATCAGGCCTGCTTCTTCCTTCTGCTCCCTGTTCCCAGTGCCCCGTAAACACACGAGCCTCGGGGGCGCCCCTCCCTGCGGCTGCCCCGGACCCACCCGCAACAAAGGCTCAAGCAGAAAGGCTAAAGAATTCTAAAGCGCCACTTAATATTTCCACGACAGCCAGTAAAATATGTCACATACATTTGTATTGACTATTTCTTAAGAGTATAAAAAAAGAAAACGACCGTGACTATGTTTTCTGTTCATATTTAAAGTTGAAACTATCAATTTGTGAAATCCATAAACACGAGTACCACACATTGGAAAAGCGCTGTGGAAAGTGTGCATTATGGGATATATCCCCACTCCATTAAAGACCTGTAGATTTCAGTACTGTAAACTGTTGACATCTAGCGCACTAGGAGGCCTCACTCATGGTTTCAGACAGCAGATTAATGAAGGTACTTACCAAAGGTTAACAAAAAGCCATAGAGCATGCTTAGAACCCAAGAATACCATCCTTTGTGCTCTACGTATAACAAGCTATAAATAGCATAGCAGCCCAGTAATGGGAAGAGGAGCCAGGACAGATACCGAAACGCCATCTAAAAACACACACAGGAGAAAACACAAAACAGAGCCAGTTACATCGTCGCCACAATGTCTGCAACAGCATTATACTGTGCAGAATGTGCCTGTCATGAAGTGCTTTATAATATCCCTTCATTGTTTCAAGGTACCAACAGTGCTGTCCTTGAAACACATCCCCATACTGCATTATAAGGAAAATCATGTTTCTAGTATTACAATAGCAACAATGTAATAGCAATATAAGATCACATGGCACTACTGAGCAGACAAGATTATGCTGAGAAGGAGTCCTTACTCACATCGTCATAGATTTTGGTGGAGGACTGCACATATGTGGACTTGTCTTTGAATGTTAAGCGTGGGAACACTCCTGCCACTCGGTTTTCTCTGTCCAGCTGAAGGAAGAGGATGGACAAACATTACAGCAATTCTCTACTACGAATAAACAAGCTGTCACCAAACCCAATCTCTGGGAAACTGAGACTCAATTCAAGACCAGAGTGAAATTTGAGAATTTCTCTGATGCTCCTTAAAACTTAATAGCAAGAGGAGCTTTTAGTGCAACACTTCTTCCGATTTGTCCAATAAAGTTCATTTAAGCTGAAATCCAAAAACAAGCCATACTCAGATGATCTTAAGTAGGCATATCTTTAAAGAAACATTAATTTAAAAATACAGCTTTGTGTATTTAATCACAATTGCCATCTCCCTTCAGAGAGAGAAAATTCAACAGAAAGAATAAAGGAGTTAAAGTCCAACCCCGCTCCCCAGCCCCCGACTCCCCTGCCAGCTCACCCTGACGTCCATGACTTTGGTGATCTTCCAGAAGTCGATGAGCAGCCCAATGAACACGCTGACCTGCACCACGAAGTTGGTTTCGTTATCCAGGATGTAGAGCAGCACTACAAGGGACTGGAACACCCCGAAGAAGACGGAGCGCACGGAGAGCCCCTCCAGAGACTGCCGGCTGTTCCAGAACTGAATATCTGGGGGGGGGGAGAAGGCACCTTCAGCACAGACCCGACACCAGCCTGCTCAGCACACACCATCGCTAGCACGTCTGCCAGGAGCAGGTGTCTCCCGCCCACTTCCATACACTCCTTTTGTGTGGGTGTTTGGAAAGTAACTTCAGAAAATGTACTCATGACGTCCCGGATCAATACAATGTTATGACCCAAACCAGCAGGTTCTAACAGGCTAAATGCTCTTCATCTCATTTGTAACCAGTTACTACTACATTAACGTTCCTCTTAATGAAGCACTCCTCACTGTAAAAGCTCGTTATTCTGGTATGACTACCACTTAATGCCAGCGGACTAGCATGATCAGAACAGCCCGTTTACCGTTCTTGAAGGCCAGGAACTCGAAGATGCTGTGTACAATGGACACCACGATGGTCAACCCCAGGAGATAAGGGTTGGTCTCCAGCAGGGCCACCTGCAACATGGAGAGAAGTGGGCTCAGCACTGACCAGTGACCTGCAGTTCCACGGTACTGTTAATGACTGACTACTACCACGCTGGAGTCATTATTAGCCTGCAGGGAGAAAATATTCTACGGATCTCTCATGCAAACAGTGCCCAATGGCTCCAAGATCTCTCACATTCTTTTTATTCAAATAATCAGCCTTAACACAAACTACTGTTAAACTAGATCAACACTTGTAATGTTGCTTCCGAAATGCATAGTTTATCTACTACCTCTGTCGGTAAGTCCTATTAAATCTACTGGGAACAGTCATGGCAACCAGCACTGAGATCAGTAGTTCTTAAAACATCCTTTGTGGTGAAAATGTGCAATACTCCTTACACTAAATTTGTAGAGCTACTTTTTGAAAGATCTTGATAAGATCCTGCTATCACTGAGGATCCTGCTATCACTGATAAGATCCTGCCACACTGAGGCCTGAGGCCTCACTCACTCACTAACCATGCTGCTGCTAAAGATCAGCAGTCTTGGGGAAGTCATACTGTGCTGGCCTGTGTTGGTCACTCTATGAGCCCACTCTGGACTTCAGCAGTAGTTCTGCCCCATTCTGACCTTCACAGAGTCCTGGTCTTCATCCGACTGCTCATACATGTCCTCTCCCAGGAAGTTCCAGGGGGACTTGGTGTTCTGTGCAGCGTAGAGCTGCCAGCGCCACAGCGACAGAGGGCAGTAGGACAGGCGCAGAGGCAGGAGGTCCAGGGACTCATTAACAGGGAAGTAATCCTTCTGCAGGTTCCAGTAGTCATTGAAATACACAATGGGGTAGTAGTCCCCGCTCACGGCGTCGAACTTCACATCTACAGAGAGGGAGCATGAGTAGAATGAGCCACAGCTGAGCAGTTCGTATTCATATAACAGGACCCAGGGCTTTTTGCTTTATAAGGATGCTACCAAAAGCACGTGTATTTCACCCGTTATTCAACCATCTCTGTGTTGGTGAACACTTAAAAGGGCAGCAGAGATTAGAGGGATTCACGTTATCTTTCCAACAGCTTGAAAAGAGCAGACTGCGCTGACCTGTCTCTGAGAAACAAAAGATGAGATCACTTTATTGGCCATATACAATTTCTTGCATTAGGAATTTGTCATTTCGCAGACCCCAGCTTGCTCTCCATGAGACACACAGACGGGGAGAGAAGCTTGGGGTCAGAGCGCAGGGTCAGCCATTGTACAGCACCCCTGGAGCAGTTGGGGTTAAGAGCCTTGCTCAGGGGCCCAACGCAGTAGGATTCCTCTGCTGGCCACAGGATTTGAACCGGCAACCTTCCAGCCACAGGCGCAGATCCTGAGCCACAGAGCCACTGCTCTGCCCCCAAAAGATGTAGCTGGCTGAAGCCTGGTGGCCTTTTCTCACTAAGAGCTCTTCTTGGGCTGCAGCAGAGTATGGCCGGCTGAAACACACAGCAGCAGGGTCACTCACACTGATCCAGGGGCGGTGGGACTGCCCCCTTCACCCAGGCTGTGTGATCGTCAACCATGTTGATGGTTAGGTTGGGGTGCCAGTGTGAGATCACCTCCACAGGGCCGAAGTCCTCTGCCCGCTGCAAGGAGCAAGAAAACAATCTAGAGTTTACATGACATTAAAAGTCTGTATGTATGCAAAAAACAAGCCTCCACTGCAGCTTTCAGAGCCTGTCAGAGAGGTACAAAAATCCAACAGTGAGACTAGAATAGAAAGCAGGTTTGCATGGTTTGAGGGGAGCAGGAGATACATTTGGCTCACATATTGCTTTGAGCTTACTGAACTGCATAAGGTAGGAACAAAGCTTAATGTACAAAAACATTTATTCATGATTTACTAATCATTTATAATCATAGCTGATCAATAATAAGCTCAATGCAAATAAGACCACCTTCACCCGAAACAACAAAGGTTGTCATTTTAATCATGAAGACAAAAGACTGTCGTTTACAAGTTAGTTTGACATTCATGCAGTTACAAAATTCACTAAGGCAATATAACAGTATTGGAAGTGTCATTTAGTATTTGGGCATTTATACCTTAATCATCTCTGGGTCTGCCTCCGTCTCTCCAGTTAACAGGTTCTTCGTCTTTAGAAACCTTCTGCGTTTGTACTTGTTTAGCACTGAGAAAAAAATATACATGATTACTTTGTCTTCTGTTTCTGTAAAAGTGTACAAAAGTACCTTATTTTGTATAGTGTGAGCAAAACCTGACTGATTGACATTTAATAAACTTAATGAACTGAATGAATTAATTTAATGCTTTTCAGACACAGCTCTGTTAGTCTAGCGTCAGAAGCAGTGACTGAGGACGTTCACCAACATATCTGGCAGAAATCACAGACTGCTGCCCTTAGACTTCTCTTAGGCCACCAAGGCATCACAGACATAGGATACTGTCGATTTATGTATAAGGTAGAACTGTAAAATAGATATTTCAGGGATACTCGGGACATTAGGAATTAAAAAGACTGTTTCCCAATAAGAGTGAAGAGTAAGGAGCCACAGTAATGGTCTAACCCCAGGTCTGTCCCAGGAAGGTCCTCCAGACTGCAGTCTCACTATTATTCTCCTCAGCTGAGCTCTTAACCGACACATTTGTCATGTTTATAAATAAAATAATTCAAATTATTTATTGAGTTTTTAGCTCTGAAATGTTTACAAATTTTGAGTTAAGCACTATTTTCGAGAAATAACTTAAAATTTACAACACAAATTACACGTCCAATTAATGGTTTAATTAACGTTCAGCTGGAACAAAACCCAGATAAAAACCTTCAAGATAAAAAAGTATCAGTCTTTAAGCATGAGCACTTTTCATTTATTGTGCCTTTTTAATTCTACTCATTATTGGAATCATGTGCTTGATGAATATGAAATTTAATTTTAAGGGTGTGCAAACATTTTTTCTAATGTGTCTCCATATGTATATATTTATGTCAGCAGCCATATCACCCTGCAGCTCCCAGCCGGCAGCCCACTGAAGCCCAGCAGTGTGAGCCTGGTCAATACCTGGAGGGGAGACTCCTGGGAAAAACTAAGGCTGCTGCTGGAAGAGGTGTTAGTGAGGCCAGCAGGGAGTGCTCTTCCTGCTGTCTGTGTGGGTCCCAATGCCCCAGTATAGTGACGGGGACCATATACTGGCACACTATGGCGGGGGTGGAGGGGATCCCCATTACCTGTAAAGCGCTCTGTGTGGAGTGTCCAGAAAAGCGCTATATAAGTGTAAGCAATTTTCATTATTGTGATTATTACATATATTTTCTTTCTATAGACAAAAGGTGGAGTGTCTCTTGAAACAGCACTCAATCTCCTCTGGCTGGAGAAGTGCAGGTCATGCCTTCACAGGCGTGTGGTGCATGTGTGGCGCGTGTGGCGTGTGCACGCGGCCCCCGCCCCCCGCTCAGCGCGGGACTCTTACTCCGCGACACGTGGACTGTGGCCAGGCGGCGGTACTGGCCCTTGCGCTTGGGGTCCGGGTGGAACCCGCTCTTGGTGAAATAAACGTGGATGTACAGGGATCCATTCTGCTTCACCTTCTGCAGAAACGACACAAAACAAGTCACACACTGGTCAGTCACAGGCACGTCACGGCCCTGAACACAGACTTAAAGGTTTGTCACCCAGAGTACGATCCTCAGGGGTCGCAACGCTTTTCTCACCCCGAGATCTTTATTTTCTAAACTGGATACAGCTGGGGACTGCTGGCACATGCCCCGTGTTGATGGGTTAACACGAGATGTGTAGAAGTTCCTAGCCTCCGATCTCCCCCTGAATCTCTGCCATGCCTGGATTTATTTTCCGGCTCTCATTTCAATTTTCAGACACAGAAAATCCCTGAAGCCTCCTCAGTG